CTATTTAAGTCCTTGCACATCAAAATTAATGATATTAAAACACAAAGCAGAGTCGAATAACGAATTTCTGAACCAGAACTTTCATGTGGAATATGTGAGGTGGGTGTTGGAAAATCCAAAATGGCTGTTACTGACGGTATACGGTCTCATATTAGGTCAGTAACAACCATCTTGGATTTGTACTGACGGTATACGGGCTCATATGGGGTTAGAAGGTCAGCTCTCTGATTGGTCAATCTCACTTTGAGGCATAATAAAACTACGATATACAGTATTGTATAGTTTACCGAATATTTATCATTCTGTTTTTATAACAGATAACTGAGGCCAACATTCAACTACAGGTTACTTTTCGTTGTTTAAGTTTGTTTTTGCTTAAAATATATTTGTGAAAAAGTATATGTTATTTTAACATCAGTATCATTAGTATTGAGACTTGGACCCAAACATTTCTCTTTTCGACATTTGTTCAAAATTTAATTCATATCAAGGGCAGATAACTTGAACCATATGCACGTGTACAACGGCCACCTATTTGCATTCTGTGTTTCAGACATTTGTACACCACAAAAAATGAGTGAGTGAGTATGGTTTTACGCCGCTTTTAGCAATATTCCAGCAATATCACGGCGGGGGACACCACAAATGGGCTTCACACATTGTACCCATGTCGGGAATCGAACCCGGGTCCTCGGCGTGACGAGCGAACGCTTTAACCACTAGGCTACCCGACCGCCCCCCCAAAAAATGAACATTTTTGGCCACCAAACATACTTTCCGTGCAGGTAGCTAATACAAACCAAAGGTATTTCCAAGAATTGGCCAACCGCTTGGTCCAGGAGGAATCTAGTATCGTTTTTTTAAGGATGAAGTACGCCGATTCACCGACAACTACACCTACAAGGTGGGTATGTCTCACAGCAGACTGGCCAGAGACAGATCACGTATTCCAGCATCTCCCAGTCGGCCTGTAAGTGAGTGAGTATGGTTTTACGCCGCTTTTAGCAACATTCCAGCAATATCACGGCGGGGGACACCAGAAATGGGCTTCACACATTGTACCCATGTCGGGAATCGAACCCGGGTCTTCGGCGTGACGAGCGAACGCTTTAACCACTAGGCTACCCGACCGCCCCTTGTTCATAATGACATTTCACATATTTTCCGACATAAGGTCACCCCCGAAAAATCCAGTATAGCCGCCAAATCCAAAATGGCCGCCTGGGAGGAATGAAATTCTAGCATATCTCATGTGGACATGACCCACAACCTAAATACGAGTGTATATCAAGAAAAATGAACATTTTGGAATATATTTACCCAACACTACAACGGTAAAGTAAATAATTTTAGACTATTTATATTCATTTAGTTAATCTAAAGTGGGGGAAAAAAATGCATTTCTTATATCTTTACTTCATGAAGGCCAATTGACTACACAAATATTGTACACTAATATGGTGAATACAATGACAACAGAATATTTAAAGAACGGAATTTGCTATCCATAAAATATGCTGTAAATGGCAAATGGTTTCGGTTGGTTGGGGCAACTAAATTCGATCACAGTTGCCACACATTTGCAAAATTAAAAGTGGCGTACTCTCTCTGGCTGTCTCTCCCTGTCTGTCTCTCTCTGTGTGTGTCTCTCTCTCTCCTCTCTATCTGTCTCTGTCTGTCTGTCTCTCTCTGTCTGTCTCTCTCTCTGTGTCTCTCTCTCCTCTCTGTCTGTCTGTCTCTCTGTGGGTCTGTCTGTCTCTCTCTCCTCTCTGTCTCTGTCTGTCTCTCTGTGTGTGTGTCTCTCTGTCTGTCTGTCTGTCTGTCTGTCTCTCTCTCTCCTCTCTATCTGTCTCTGTCTGTCTCTCTCTCTGTGTGTCTCTCTGCCTGTCTGTCTCTCTCTCTCTCCTCTCTATCTGTCTCTGTCTGTCTGTCTCTCTCTGTCTCTCTCTCTGTCTGTCTCTCTCTCTCTCTGTCTGTCTGTCTCTCTGAGGGTCTGTCTGTCTCTCTCTCCTCTCTGTCTCTCTGTCTGTCTGTCTCTCTCTGTGTGTATCTCTCTGTCTGTCTCTCTCTCTGTATCTGTCTCTCTGTGTGTGTCTCTCTCCTCTCTGTCTCTCCCTCTGTCTCTCTCTCTCTCTCTCTCTCTCTCTCTCTCTCTGAGTGGGGACGAGCCTTCTTGTAGGTTATGGAAAGATGCGAGCAACGACGAAACCAGCTGCGACGAAACAGTCAACCGCTGGAATCTAAAAATAAACACCAGCTCGGTGCGAGTTTCAAACTTGACTCGTTGGTTGCCTGAATAGGTTACGAGTATTGCACAATACAGCGTGGCCCCACAACCCCGTGCAGTGTATTAACTATATTCTACTGGGGAATCTAAATGTTACCTCACAGGCCACGTCGTAGTATAGCCTATTTCAAGTCAGGCGCTCACTTAGAACGCGTGCAAACATCAACGTATTGATTGTACAAAATGACATAATATGTTTAGCCTATCTCAAGTATAGCGCGGGGCGGTAGGGTAGCCTAGTGGTGGAAGCGGTCTCTTGTCACGCCAAAGACCCGGGTTCGATTGGACACATTTCTGGTGTCCCCAGCCGTGAAATTGCTGGAATATTGTTAAAAGCGGCGTAAAGCTGACTCACTCATTGTAGTATGTATACATTCATGAATCGATTGTCCCGTGGGACTAAATGAGATTGCATGTATAGCCTGTTTCAAGTAAAGCGCCGTGTATACATCCATGTATTGATTGTCCCGTGGCACTAAATAAGATAATATGTATAGCTTGTTTCAAGTAAGGCGCTCACAGTCGTGTATACATCCATGTATTGATTGTCCCGTGGCACTAAATAAGATAATATGTATAGCTTGTTTCAAGTAAGTCGCTCACGGTCGTGTGTACAGCCATGTACTGACTGTTCTGTGGTGACTGGTCGTGACACGATCGCATCATCATGCGATGGCTGACGAGGCGTTTATGAAACACGTTTGTTCACATTACCCAGTCCCACATGTTTTGATGTGCCTATTGTGCGCATGGCCTGTTTGACATTGAACTGACTACCTGTGTGTGTCACCAGCTGTATCCAACAGGGCACAGACCAATGACCTCCAGTAAACACTTCAACCAAGTGATCAAATACAACCACTGACTGGTCAACCATCTTATAACGAACTCGATATCGTATACATGAAGGGAATTTACTATTGCACAGAACCGGTTGGCCACTGAAGCTTAACATAGTGGCTGAGGTGCGGGATACTGGAGGCTGGCCACAGAGGTATCGCATTCAATACGTGGAACCTGATCAGTGATTTGACTGGTTAAAGTTACCATACTTTCTGTTGGTCGGGACTTGACCTTCGGACAGCGGCTAGGCAGGTTGGCTCCGTTACCATACTCGTGATTATATAGATGCTGTATTTATTATATCACAAATAAAGTGTTGTAGATGGACACTTGTGTTTGAAGGACAGATATCCTAAACAACCAGAGTTCGGATGTTATCCCAGAGTTCGGATGTGCGGTACTTATGATTAATCAATTTTGACAACACATCCCACATTTCATATTGTCAACGCGATTGATTGTTTTGTTAGGTTTTTTAAATAAACTCAGCGGCAAAAGAAAGTATAGGTTGGGAATTTGTAATTTTCCTTAAAAAAGGCGATAACTAGTGGAAAGTAGGTATTGGGTATATGACTGCCCAGGAACAGGTACCAAAAAACACCTCACCCGAACGCGCCACCTTTGACGGCGCTCGTGCGGTGACAAAAAAATGGTGAAACAGGTTTCCCGCCTATGGCATAAACTGCACGTGCATGTCAGCTGTGTAAATGCGTTCGTCTGCAGGGTATAACCACACGTGATGAAAACACACATGAAATGCCACGACTGTCCCAGGAGCAGAGAGAGCCATCGGTATGGCCGAAATGGGAGCAACACAGGTCCAAATTGCCAGAAGGTTTGGTTGTACACCATTGACAGTAGCCACGCTGATTCAACGGTACAGGCAGACAGGGAGGACACAGGACAGGCCTAGAACCGGACGACCCCGAGTGACAACACCACTGGAAGACGGTCAGATCCGGCTCATTCACCTGCGAAACAGATTCGTAACGGCGACGGCGGCAACAGCGTTGGGACATCCCATTAGCCAACGTACAGTACTACGACGACTTCGTGATGCTGGAATCCGAGCGTATCGTCCTTTTCGGGGAATGGTACTGACTGCTCAACATCGACGCCTGAGACTGCGATGGGATAGGCAGGTTCGACGCTGGCAAGTGGGAAATTGGCGTCGAGTGCTGTTTACTGATGAAAGTCGGTTTAACTTGTTTCGAAATGACGGCAGAGAACGAGCTTATCGACGCAACGGGGAACGTTTGGCTCTGGCGTGTATTCGAGAGGTCCATCCATTCGGCGGGGGAGGCGCCATGGTGTGGGGATCAGAAGACTGATTTGGTGATTATACAGGGAAACCTGAACGCTGTGCAGTACAGAGACCAAGTGTTGCAGCCAGTTGTGCTTCCGTTCTTACAAAACCAACAGCGAGGACATTGTTTCAACACGACAATGCCAGGCCCCATACTGCAAGACTGACTCGGAACTTTCTAAACCAGCAGAACGTTGACGTTTTTCCCTGGCCTGCCCACTCACCCGATATGAATCCTATTGAACATATGTGGGACCATCTTGACAGACAGATTAGAGCACGCAAACAGCCTCCCGTCAACAGACAAGAATTGCAGCAGGCCCTGAGAGACGATGGGCAACGGATTCCAGTCCACGTCATCAGAAGACTGACGTCATCGATGAGGCGGCGTATCACTGCATGCATTGAGGCAGCTGGAGGTCATATACGCAATTGAACGTCACACAAGGGGGAGGCAGACATCACCGCATGGATGGACAACTGGTAACTGGTTAGGAGATGTCCTATGACATTTGATAATCCCGGTCCTGTTCGTCCGTAACTTCGATTGGAGGGAATGCCCATACTTTCATTGGAAAGCGGTGCGAGAGCAGCGACATCAAGCGGAGGATCCGGGAACCAGTCAAGGAATGCCCATTGTTGATCTCTCATTCGTCACCACTCGCCCCCTTCCGTGAGCCGTCCCGGAATAACACGAGCTAATGACGAATGGAGCTGTCATAGAAAGCACATTCCTGACCAACTCGTTTTATTCCGGGACAGGTTACCGAAACAGGCGAGTGTTGACGAATGTGACGAGTTCATATCAAAGCCAGCGAAAAACGGTAAGTTGGTCACTCTGTTTATATGGACGCTTGGAACCTCAACACTTGTGTTTCAGTTTGATAGCTTGTGCAGTGAGTAAACTAGCTATCACCATTGTACTGAAAAGCGTTATTGTATAGTTGTTGTTATGCTGCCTGTCACTCGCCATTAAGGACATAAAACAAGGATTGACCAGCTCGGAGTCGGTAGCATGTGTTTAGGTGGGCTAGCACAATAAATACTTGTCACAAGACACAAGTACGATAACCTTGAACGCGACGCTAAACCCTATTTTACACCACCTCACCTCCTCACTGTCACTGTTCCTATTCATTGGCCTTCGTTGATCTCGTTATTTTTCGGTTAGAGTTAGTCGGTGCGCTCTGGACTGGGGATTTGCAAAAAAAGGTAACTTGGCTTTTCTATCACCTGCCCACGCCGACATGCCTTATCGCAGGGCAGAATATGCAAGTGGATACTGTTCTTAAATGTATTTATTTCGCCGCAATATTCCAGCTATATGACGCGGTCTGTTAATTTCTCACGGGCCTGGTAAGGCTGATGCAGTTACTTACTTACTTACTTTGGAGATTTAACGTGCGCTATCCGACTGATGCGTATTTCGCACACGGACTGATGCAGTGCATACGCACTTACTTATGTAGGCCAACTGATTGGTAAACAAGAATATGACATGTTGTTGTTGCATTAAGTGTTTAAGAGGTCGCCTTCTGCCTAAGCAATTTCGGCTGACCTGCGAATATGACAGCGCCAGGCTGCAATTTTCAAAACAGCCGAAGTCACAGTTTGGTGACGATCGTATTGTTCGTATCACAATAGGCTATATGCCTGACTGGTCACATCCCCAAGGTTGCAACAACTAGAAGCGAATAAGCATTCTGCTGTTTTCCTCAGGTACATGTTGACTATACTTAGCCTTGGCAGAACAAGGCAGTAGAAACCTCTCACACAATCTAAACAATGGATATTGATCGTGTGGGATTCTCGTTCGGTTGGATGGTTGCTTTGTTTGTTGTTTAACGCCGCACTCAGCAATATTCCAGCTATATGACGGCGGTCTGTAAATAATCGAGTCTGGACCAGACAATCCAGTGATAATATCATGAGCATCGATCCACGCAATTGGTATCGATGACATGTATCAACCAAGTCAGCGAGCCTGACCACCCGATCCCGTTAGTCGCCTTTTACGACAAGCATAGTCGCCCTTTACGACCTATTCTACCCTGGAATCTTCACTTGTTCGGAGCAAGATGCCTTTCCTGGATTATTTGAAAGCAATATTTCAAAGGCGTTGATTGTGGATGGTAATATATGACATAGATACATATATAAAGAAAACAAATCTCTCATCGAGTGACAGGGGATATAAAGAGATATGCCACTCGAGAAAATATATCTTTTCCCCCTCAATAAATCAATGATTCAAAGGAGTCGGTAGACTTGCATAAGTAGCTAAGGCATACTCATCAGTTTAAATCGCACCTTCTAGATTATATAAATAATGAGAACATTTTTTCCCCATAAAAGACTGGCGTTCTCAGATGCCCGCTTATCTAGACTTGCCTATTATAAAGATAGCATTACTACACATACACGTACTTATGTTTCAGTACAGCCTTGGAACAAGGCTGAGGGACCGGGCACTTACTCATCGACAGAGCATCTGTATTAAAGCTTCATATTAATTTCCTTTTCTGTTGTATCTTACATCAAATATATGCAGTTTGAGTGAGTGAGTAAGTCTGGTTTAACGCCGCTATGAACAGTATTCCAGTTATATCACGGCGTGTACGGAGGAAAGCCCAAGCGAAGGTCTCAAACGTCTACCACAGACCTAGAAACATAATCGGGGCGAACCGGGTGATTATATGAACATTTGATTGATGCTTTCAGAAAATAAGAGTCAATGTACACGGTTATATCCCATTAGTTAGACGTCCCATTAGTTAGACGTCCCAATTGTTAGACATTTCTATTTAGGCAAAGAGGGAATATACCTACAGGTGTAATGGATCAGTCCTAATTAGATTAAAGTACTGAGTAGGGATAGGGGACTCACAGTTTAGGGAGTATAAATGTTATAATTTCGTTTAATTAACCTAAATTACCTTACTCTCAGCACAGGTTCAATAGGCATGAGATTAACTGTGTAAACTATGGAGTAGCTTGATTGTCTTACTGTATGATCAGTTGAAGGAGTTGAGTTTAGATTATCTACTCATCAAACAAATAAAAATGATCTTGGGGTACGTATCATTATCAGTATCGATATGGCTGGTTTAAGGAAAGTAGAGTACATCACCTCTCGGCGTGGAAGTGAGCAGTTGATATTAGATGGATATATCTACAACAGAAACCGCGAGAGGCAAACCTTCACACATTGGAGATGTGTCGTCAAGACGTGCAATGGGAAATGTACGACTGTCGGTGACTTTCTTTGCAATCAGCCGGAACATAACCATCCGCCTGAAGATGAAACCAGAGTGAACTTTGTCAGCAATCTTCGTGAAAGAGCGCGAGAAGAAACCACACAGTTGCAGGCATTGTACGAGGAAAGTGTAGTCTATTCTCTCTTGAAACCACAATTTGAATTAGAAAATTATCTGACGTCCCTACCCCTAAATAAAGCTATCCCTTTTCCTTTATTCGTACTTCATGCCACCACCTACCAATTGAAAAAGGAAGATGGAATGGGATACCTATTTGTGAAAGAAAATGTAAACTGTGTTTTATTGATGATATTGGAGATGAATTTCACTATATTTTTAAATGTCCATATTTTACTAAAGAAATAATTTTGTATATCCCACCTACATATTCTAAAAGACCTAATATGATTAGATTTCAAAGACTTTTCACTTGTAAAGAGATATCTGTATTAAAAAACCTTAGTAAATTCTGTAAATATGTAATGCAAATTGTAAAATCTTCCGGCTAACCATATATCCGCTATTATAATGTGTATTTTGCTGTCATTTGGTACCTCCTATGCCGAGGATCTCGGCCTGAGCGTAATAAAGTTCTGTTCTGTTCTAGAGGAGCAAGTCACTCAAGAAGATGAAACCAACATGCCAGCGATGCCATTATTTCACCAAACTGTATACAATTTATCAAATGTAAAGTGTCATTAAATGTTAATTATAATATTAAAGTATCTATTCAAAGCTGCTTTGCTTTGTTTGTCAGATCTTATCTGGACTATTCCATTTTAAAGTCTGAGGTTACAAGCATAATGATTAGTGTGCACTCAACCGTTTAAAGTGTTGTTATAAGCTGTCTAACTATTGGGACGTCTAACTAATGGGAGGACACCATGTACACCACTCGTATTGTTATTTGTATGCTTGAAATTAAACCCGACCAATTGTAACTTAGAGAATAATGTACGAGGATTATGAATTATCGGTCGCGTGATATTTGTGTTACTCCCGCTGTGCGACAGATAAAAATAAAATTCGTAATTTATTGCGGGTAGTTTATATATATATATATATATATATTTTATCTATTTTTGTCCTTCTGAGTAAATGTATGAAAAAATTGTTTTAAACTGTTCACGCCGCAGCATACTATTTATATTGTTGGGGTGGACGTCACTTGGCCAGATAAACCAGTGACTGATATTGTGAGCAACGATCGAATCCAAAGCTAATAGAAGAAAAATTAAATCTACTTCCACGAAATAATGTAAAATATGTTTTGTTGTTGTAAAACACCACACTAGGCAATATTCCAGCTATATGACGGCGGGAATATAAAAAAATCAAGTCTGGGCCAGACAATCCAGTGATTGATATTATGAGCCGTGTCCACACACGCGACCAATCAAGTCACCGAGCCTTACCACTCGATTCATTAAGATAATATACCTCTGGTTGCTGGGGACAGCACAGGGTCAATCATTGTCGGAAAGAATACATCCGCGGATATCTATCCCTGAATTTGACCTTTCAACCTACTGCAAATTGTACACACGAACTATTAAACGCCTCTCTAAGCCGTAAAGATCCGGGTAAACAACAGGTCTTCAGAAACCCATGCTTGTCGTAGGAGACGGCTAGGTGGGTCGGGTGGTCAGGCTCGCTGACGTGGTTGATGCAGGTCATCGTATCCCTATTGCGTGAGACCCGTGAAGATCCGGGGTAGAATAGGTCTTCAGCAACCCATGCTTGCCATAAAAAGGCGACTAGTAGCTATGCTTGTCGTAAAAGGCGAATAACGGGATCGTAGGGTCAGGCTCGCTGACTTGGTTGATGCATGTCATCGATCCCAACTGCGTGGATCGATGCTCATGATATCAATCTCTGGATTGTCTGGTCTAGAATCGATTATTTTACAGAACGCCGTCATATAGCTGGAATATTGCTGAGTGCGGCGTAAAACAACAAACCAAACCAAACCTATTGCGTAAATGGTTCTCATGATGTCAGTCACTGGATTGTCTTGTCCAGAAATGATTATTTACAGACCGCCGTTACATAGCTGGAATATTGAAAACGAATATGTACGAGTTGTCAATTCCATTGGAAAGCACCGTTTTTAATTTTCTGCAAGTTACGGAAGGGAAGAAATATATATATTGTGTCTTCAAACATTTACTTGAAAAATACGGTTTACCTTTGAGATTAGATGGCCAATTAATAATTGGACCAACGACAACGTTCAACGTGACTGACGCCATTTTTCGTAAATACGAAAACAACAGAGATAGCTCCCGATTGAAATTAGAGTGACCTCCCTTTACCAATAATAATGCAAGCTCCTCACAGCGAATAGGTGGCCACAACCATGCTTGGAGTTGAACTCGCAACCGAATGACCGTTATGTTTACAAAACAAGTGACGCCGAATACACTTATCGCTGCTAAATTACTTTCTTCGTTTGTCAATTTGAATTTCTGTTTCATTAAAACTATCGTGTTATTGACATAGTAAGAATGTAAGGGATAAGTTGGTTGATCTTCCGTTAGTCTGCAATCTCGAACCAATCTGATTATCAAAACAACAAAGTAAATTCATCTGGAAAACATGGTCAGTCTTAAACCTTTTCAAATTGAAATATGATGGCATTCCCAAAGACATAAACAAAAGTATAAACGTTACTACATATGGGGTTGGAGGGCAAATTTCAAGATTCTTGTAATGGCCGCGCCCACACTGGTGGCAGCGATGTTACCGAGAGTGTAACGAAGGTGTCATGCGCTGGGAAGGAGCTTGATAATAATGCAGTTTCGCCACTATTATATGCCGCCCTCGAATTCAGCTGCAGTTTCACCCATTATGCCCATATTCGAGATACAGAAGTCTCGACGCTGATTTGCTGATTAGAAAGTCACCTGACGCGACCTCCAGTACTGTCACTGAACAGCTGCTGAACATGTTGCGATAAGTTGCTGTTCACCATTGCTGAACTCAAAGATCATTTAGAAGTCAAGGGCAGTGACGGATCCCGTGGCTCGCTGACTTGCTCATGATGCCAATCACTGGATTGTTTAGTCCAGACTCGATTATTTACATGCCGCCATCGTATAACTTGAACAAAACTTTAATCACATCTTATCATACATGTACATTTTCATTTCTCAGGCCAAGATGCTAGAATGTGTGTTCAACCTCTGGCCCGAGTCTCTCATCACTCAGGCCATCATCGTGGGGATCACTGCCGGCTTCATCACCTACCATATCTTCAAGAAGCGTCCCGCCTTGCCTCCTGGACCAAGGGGGTGGCCGTTTATTGGAAATTTGCGCGGTAGGTCATGTCGTGAATGAAACAAATAGCATACCTCAATTGCTATTGTAGCGGCCATAACATTTCCAAATCACGTAATGGGATTCGAACCACGGACCTTCTGATCAGATCTCGGATGCCTTGTCCACATGACCAAAGAGGTTAACCCCGTCATCGGCCACTCATCAGTATACAAAACATATTTCAATGTGCATGTACAAATAACTTTTGTTTCTTTGGTGTCAGTGTGGAGATTTTAGACTGTTCACGACAGACACAGATGTGCTAGTGTCATGGCACTATTTTGTTTCTTTTCAGAAATACAAAAGGGTGACCCCTTGGAACTTTTTAGCACATGGATAGAAAAATATGGTCCTGTAATCACGGTAAAATTTGGTGAGTATTCATGAATAAACAAATAAACTGACGGCCAAAAGAAACGTTACCAACGATATTTCTAGGATACAATATGACCAACACAATTTGAAGCAGCAATAACAATTGTATTGTAGAAATTCATCATTCAGAACAGTAAAATGCGAATTTACTAATTCAACAACAATGTCCTTGACCTCCAACAGGGACATGTCTTGACAAGGGGTCATTCGTCCAGTATTCGATCAACAACATTGGTTACAACTTTAAGGTGACGACGGCCCAGACCGTTCAATACGGGATATGACCTCCATGAGCGGCAATGCATCTTCGAATGCGGCGTCGAACTGAGTAGACAAGCGTCCTCACATCGACTGCAGGTATCCGATTCCATTCCTCACGGAGGGCAACGATCAACGCTTGTCTCGTGAAGGGAGGATGTTGACGTTTCCGAAGACGACGCCCCAGCTGGTCCCAGAGATGTTCAATGGGTGACAGATCTGGTGATCGAGCTGGCCACGGCAGGACAGTCACGTTATTGGCGTTAAGGAAGTCTCTAGTAATACGGGCTTTATGGGGTGTGGCGTTATCTTGTTGGAACACCGTCCGTTGTTGACGCTGGATGAAAGGAAGAACCACTGGCCGTAAGATATTGTCAATGTAGCGTTGTGCTGTCAGACTGCCTTCGATCCTGACAAGTTCCGTCTTCTCGTCCCCGCAAATGCCGCCCCAGACCATCACACTTCCGCCCCCGTAAGGTTCCACCTCCTCGACACAACAAGAAGCCGTACGTTCACCACGTCGTCGATAAACTCGCGTCCGCCCATCAGGTTTGAAGAGTTGGAACCTGCTCTCGTCACTAAACAGCATTCGCCGCCATTCCCTTTGTTGCCATCGCTGAGTTTGCCTGCACCACGTCAATCTGGCACGTCGATGTTGACGGGTCAAGGTCATGCCCTTGAAAGGGCGATAAGCCCGGAGACCATAATGTCGTAGTCGTCTGGTCACTGTTTGTCTGCTGACCGGATGTCCTAAGCTGTTGGCAGCTGATGACGCCACAGTAAGAAATCTGTTCCTCAGATGAAGTACCCGTAAAAATCGGTCATCCTGCGGGGTCGTGACCTTTGGTCTGCCACTCCGTGGCCTGTCTGCGGTTCTGCCAGTCTGTCGGTGACGTGCGACCAGTCTGGTAATGGTCATCTTGGAGCAGTTCATGTTAATGGCAGCCTCTCTCTGTGTCGCTCCCATCTGCAGCATACCTATGGCTCTCTCCCTCTTGACAGCGGTCAGTCTTGGCATGTTCGTTGGTGTTAATCATCGCAACCAATGATAGGGAACAGATCCGTGCGTAATTTATACCAGGAAATTGCACGATAGTTTGGGACAGAATGTTTTAAAAAATTGCTGAAAAACACCAATATCTCCCAAAATCCGTAAAGCACATGAAGACTGTATTCGTGAGATGTGTTCTTTACTGTTTTTGAACAGGTTGGCATCTTTGTTTCATGTTGGTAACGTTTCGTTTGGCCCTCAGTTTATATCAAAAATAGTTTATACACACTAACGGCAATGGTAACTGTGAGAGGTAATGAAGTTTAATAAAAATAAATATATTCTGAAATTACATTAATATGCATATTTCAACAGATATTCATGAATACATCTAGATTGGTAAGGTCATGATTAACAATTTGCACGTGCATGTTCATGCACGGCGCACAATTTGCATGTTTTGATGCTTGATGGAAGAATAGTTCACACACTTAGTTTTTTAATGTGAACATCACACAGCGATTGTTTAGATATCGGGTGCTCATAAAACACTTTTGTTTCACTGTAAATAATGCTTTAATACGCATTGCGCAATGCCTCATCTTCCCGAGGCAAGAGAGTTAACTGACTATAAAAGTCCAGTTTTCACCCTTGCCGAACTAGGCTGGAATTCCTGGGCTTGGTCGTAGCGCCACCAGTGGTTATTATGAGTTATGTCCCTTCTGCCCCTCTCCTATAGACCAATCCGATTCCATCGCTTGCATTTGTTTAAAACAAAATGGCGGCGCCCAGTCAAGACGATCTGATCGATAATCAAGATCTAATTATGTGATAAAACGGGTCATACATCGCGAAATGCATCAAATCACGCGAGCACCTTGATTAAAAACATGAAAAGGTTCGGAAAATATATGTTGACAACGAGTTGGCGGTGCACATGTTTTGCAAATCCTGCAATCGATCGAAATCTGCACAACAGTTTACGAACCGTATTTCGATTTCCTTGCGAGATTTTGATTTTATTGTGCATAGACTCGTTAGTCCAGCCAAAATGTAACTCCATAATACCAACCTAGTTCGACAAGGGTGGAAACTGGACTTTTATTATAGTTAGTTAACCCTCTTGCCTCGTGAAGATGGCAATGCCTCGGCTTGCTAAAACATTAAGGTTGGAGGAAAGCCTGAACTGATGCACATCTTTAGCGTTTGTCATACTTTGGTGACACACACGAACACTGTGTGTTCCTGACATACCCGCATTGTAATGTCTCTGACATTAGTCATTGTAACCTTATTCAGTCTAACAGTAATCATCATTACATTATCAAGTTAACATAATATTACTCAGTCTAACATTTATCATTGTAACGTTATCAAGTGTAACACGATTAGTAATATTCATCAGTCTAATGTTAATCATTGTACCATTATTCAGTCTAACATTAATCATTGTACCATTATCCAGTCTAACATAATTGATATCATTCGGTACAACGTTAATCATTGTAACATTATTCAGTCTAACATTAATCATTGTAACATTATCCAGTCTTACATAATTGATATCATTCAGTACAACGTTATTCATTGTAACATTATTCAGTCTAACATTAATCATTGTAACATTATCCAGTCTTACATAATTGATATCATTCAGTACAACGTTATTCATTGTAACATTATTCAGTCTAACATTTATCATTGTAACATTATCCAGTCTTACATAATTGATATCATTCAGTACAACGTTAATCATTGTAACATTATTCAGTCTAACATTAATCATTGTAACATTATCCAGTCTTACATAATTAATATCATTCAGTCTAACGTTAACCATTGTAACATTATTCAGTCTAACATTAATCATTGTAACATTATCCAGTCTAACATAATTAATATCATTCAGTCTAACATAAGTTATCATTCAGTCTAACATTAATTATTGTTACATTATCAAGTCTAACATAATTAATAATATTCAGTCTCACGTTGATCATTGAAACATTATCCAGTCTAACATTAATCTTTGTAACATTATCCAGTCCAACGTTAATCATTGTAACATTATCCAGTTTAACATATTTACTATTATTCAGTCTGACATTAATCAGTGTAACTTAGTTCACTGTTACATAATTCACCTAATTCAGTGTAACGTAAAACGTACAAAATCATTCAGTCTTGCCCTATCTCTTGACAGGCACTTGGAAAGTTGTCATTCTTGGCAGAATAGATGTTGTGATGGAGGCACTCGTACAGAAACAAGAAGCTTTTGCTGGGAGACCCCAGACATATTCAGGTATGTATTACCGTATTCGACGTAATAAGCGCCCACGGCGACATTTGCTAAGATATTGGCCAGTGAGCAATCCCAATTAGCACCCCTTCCGATTGATAAATGTACACAAGACGTATTTATTCGCGTATAATACGCACTCGTGTGTTATATGCACCCTTAATTATGGGCATTTAATTCTGGAAAAATATATCTGTCGCACATATACATTTCAGACTGTCAGCATAAACCACGAAATTTATCTTTCAACTCGGTTTTTTCACCAAAATAACATTCCAATAAGAGCCCCCTATTTCTAATTTTGAGAGCGCCCTGGGTGCTTATTACGTCGACTACGGTAAACATTTCCACTAGTGCTTCTGATGCAACTTGACATTTACTTGGCTTCACAATTATGTCATTTATTAACGCAAAGAGGCTTTACTGTGCTTTCGTGGATGTGTTCTGTTTGACTGCATTCTGTTTAGGTTGCAGGAACAGAAACTGTAACCAGAAAGTAAGCTAATTAACAGTTCAGTGAGATAGTAAGTTACAAGCTTACTTTCTCAATGAAGGAAGGTAACATGGTTCGCAGAGTATACCCAGAGATTATTCTGGACATTATTACCTTTGAGAGAAAATCTCGCCTTGTCCAAAAGTGACAATTGTTTCAACCGGTGAGTGAGTGAGTGAGTGTGGTTTTACGCCAATATCACGGCGGGGGACAATCAGAAATGGGCCTCACACATTGTACACAAGTGGGCAATCGAACCTGAGACAACACTTTAACCACTAGGCTACCCCACCACACCTGTTTCAAACGGTGTTTCTCTCACTTATTCCAATGTATTTCTGTATTTCATTGGGGCGGTCGGGTAGCCTAGTGGTTAAAGCGTTCGCTCGTCACGCCGAAGACCCGGGTTCGATTCCCGACATGGGTACAATGTGTGAAGCCCATTTCTGGTGTCCCCCGCCTTGATATTGCTGGAGTATTGCTAAACGCGGCGTAAAACCATACTCACTCACTCACTCTCTATTTCATTATTTTAGGTGACGCATTCACTGCGGGTTCTAAGGATATAGTAAACGGTCAATACGGCCCAAGGTGGAAGCTGCACAGAAAGCTCGCCTCCAAGGCTCTCAGGTTGGTTGTTTGCCAACTGTTTGGTGTATTATTTAAATTTTGATAAACATCAAACAGATATGAAGCTGTGTCACGAAAATGGGCTTTGTCACTAGACTAATATCTTCTCACCATTTCAGAGGGGGCACGGGTGGCCCAGTCATTGAAGTCGCCTCAATGTGCCCCAATGGGTCCCCTTGGGCACAAACCTATAATTTTGGGTTCGAATCCCGATTCGCCCCAAGTATGTTTCTAGGTTCGTCAGCACCATACCTGTGCTCATGGATTTCAGCAAAGTGGTAAACGTCTGAAACCTGCACCCTTTTAGGGAATTCCTCCCACATTAGGCAGACACACTGTTGTGTAACTGGGATAAGGTTTAAACCCAACTCACTCACTCACTGTTTTGGGGAGGTTTTTGACCAAGTCCTCTTTAAAGTGGATTTTGTATAAGCTCATCAGACTGAAAGTCAAGGGAGCGTATGTCGTAGCCTGTTTGTCCCGCGTCGGTCCTGCATCATCCGGGATAAACATCTATTCAGCAACCTCTTGACTATTGTGGCTGAAACCTCACAAACTTGTTCAGAAGAAGAAGTTTATTCGGTATCAGAGGCCATATGACCAAGACTACAATACATGAGATAAAATTTTGAACATGAACAGGTGGAGTGAGTGAGTATTGTTTTATGCCACTTTTAGCAATATGCCAGCAATATCAGAGCAGAGACACCAGAAATGGGCTTCACACATTGTACCCATGTCGGGAATCGAACCCGGGTCTTCGGCGTAACGAGTGAACGCTTTAACCACTAGGCTACCCGACCGCCCCTTGAACAGGTGGAACAAATGTAATACTATCTCAAAATAATAGTTATCTTACATCATACAGGCAGATTTCTTTTTCAAATATATAGCAGTATTTTTAATGAAATTAAACGGTATTTGAAAATGACAAGATCAAAAACCAAGTATTTAAAGTTCTACAGACACGTTCATCATGCTGGGTGCACTGTCCAGTATTCGATCACACCCGCAGAATCGACGTTGATGTATTTTAAAGTCCCGTGCAGCACACAAGGCTCAGTATCGGACGTGACCCCCTCCAGCAACGATGCAGGCCTTAACACGACGTCGAACTGAGTACACGAGTCTCCTGACATCCTGATTAGGGATCCTACCCCATTCTTCCTGCAGGGCAATTGCCAAGGCACCCCTCGCCAATGGCCGCTGTTTCCGAATCCTGCGTCGAAGTTGGTCGCAGAGGTGCTCTATGGTCGATCTGGCTGGCCACTGTAATACGGTCACGTTGTTGGCGTTCAGAAAGTCGTTAGTGACTCGAGCTGTGTGAGGGGTGGCGTTGCCCTACTGAAACAGCGTCCGTGGGTTGCGTTGCAGGAAAGGCAGTAAGTACCACAGGCCGCAAAACCTCATCAATGTAACGACGTGCAGTGAGATTTCCGTCGATTATGACCAGATCTGTCTTCTGGTCCCGCAGGTGCCACCCAAGACCATGACACTACCACCTCCATAAGGCTCCACTTCTTGGACGCAACAACCGTTCGCCATGTCGTCGGTAGATTGGAACCCGCCAATGAGACTTGAAGAACTGGCACCTACGCTTGTTGCTGAAGAGCACTCTTCGCCAATTTCTCTGCTGCAACTGCTGTAGAGTCCTGGCCCATCTCAGTCTGTGACGTCAGTGTAGAAACGTTAACTTCATGCCCCTCAAAGGTCGATAGACACAGAGACCATACAGGCAGAGTCGTCTAGCAACGGTCCTTCTGCTGACTGGATGTCCAAGGCTGTTTGAGGACGATGACGTCACAGTTAGGAATCTGGTCCTTAGTTGAAGCACCCGTACCGGTCTTCCTGTGGGGTCGTGACATTGGGTCTTCCGCTCCTCGGCCTGTCTGCAGTACTGCCAGTTTGCCTGTGACGTGTGACAAGTCTGGCGATGGTGCACTTGAAGCAGCCCATGATCCTGGCAATATGCTCCAGCGTCGCTCCAATTTGCAACATACAGATGGCTCTCTCCCTCTGCTCTGCGGTTAGTCGAGGCATGTTCGTTGTTATAAACGGCTTCATGTGATGAGAGAGTACAATCCTGATGATGTTAATGCCAGAATTTCATACGGGTAACTTTGTGCACATTTTGCACTTTTTAGTAATTAAATTCGCTTTTCTCGCAAATCACGTGAATTATGTACAAATGTTCACAGGGAATAGGCAAGTTGCATTCCAGCTATGTGTTTGTGCTGTTTGGCAAATTTGTTGAAAACTGACGACCATTATTTATTTGGTGGCGTTTCTTTTGCCCATTAGTTTATATATAAATAAATATATGTGTATATATATAGCGACAAAACCCTTTCCATATCCAATAGAAATCACTGCATGAAGCAGATTCGATTGTTCGATTCTGACTGTATCATGAACATGTGTGAGTGTGAGTGAGTATGTATTGTTCTACGCCGTTTTTAGCAATATTCCAGCCATATCACATCGCATTTATTGCACTTAAGTAAATCAGTATTGACATTGTTGTTGTAACGAAACTGTTGAATACTCCAGTTAGGGCTCAGATATCGGTATTTACATAATATGCGGATTAGAACTTTATTTGGAGTTCACTTAATGGCGCAATTCTTCTGGTTCTGGTCCAATTTTTAATATGGCCGCCATGACCAAGGGCCATGTCACAATGACTGCAAGACCTGTTTCCAGGATTTCAAAAGATATCTGACCAGACAGCGAGGAACCATCTTCATGAGGAAGGTCTCAGAGCCAGATGGTTAGTAAAAACCTTACAAGAAGGTGTTGTTTTCATTCAACGCCATCGTCATTTGCGATGTCATGGGGTGCCAAGCATGCAGATTGGAGCCAAGTTGCAATATTTCGTCAAGTGTTAAGAAATGCCGAAAATGTGTGTTAATTCCCAGATCAACAATCTGACTATTGTTTCATTCTTTGTGGAGTTTCTATATTTATACATGAATTGTGTTATGTTGTTGAAATTGTATTTTTTCCATTTAAGACAGTATATGACAAGTGATAACCTCCCCAGGAAGATATCCCAGTCTCTCAACATCTCAACTGCGCTTATGCTTGAAGAACATGGACCGATTGATCCTCTTCCTTTCATTTCACTAGCAGTCTTTAACATCCTGTATGGAATGTGCTTTGACAAACTCTGGTGAGTCGGTTTGATGACAGCCAAATGTTTGTCATGGCGGTTTTTGTTTAATATTTTGATTAAAATTGGTCTCCAGCAAACTATACCACTCGATAGGGTGTGTGTGTGAGTGTGTGTTTGGGAGAGGGGGGGGGGGGGGGGGGGGGGGGGGGCATTTCTTCATTCCCAAATACCTTTTTTCATAACACTATACCCTTCCATAATCTGATATTATTTTCATGACCCAGTCAACCCCTCCCCTATAGCACATTGCCAGTCCCTTATAGATTGGATGGCCAAGTCATTGCAGGTCATAGCTCATATCATCACTGATTTGTCTGGCGCAGATTAGTGTTATTTACAGGCCGCCAGCTGAATTGTTTTCATGGAAACAGGAAGAAATATGAAAGATAATAAAATCCCAAAACATAAAATTTCAGCAGTTGACCACTTGTTATGCTGAGGAAGATAAACTTAACTTAATAAAAACATTAAGCTATTTTTTTAAAACAAGCCATACCCTCATCTGAACCCAAGTCCAATATATTTTCTCATGGCAACAGAAAAAAATATAAAACATAAGGAAAGTTCCTAAATAGCAAAAAATTTGGCTGAACTGATATCTGCAAAATTTGATCAAGAAATAGTGAAGGTCTTGTTTCGGAAACAAAACAAGATGGACTGAAGGACGAGCGAAAAGCATCCATTCTTATATCCATGTCCTACTTTGTGGCTGTTGATAAAAAGTAGGGCAACAGGTTTTGTCATCAAGTTTATCACAAGGATTTTGTTAATTATTTCAAGTGCTGACACAAAGGATGAAACCTTCACCTTTCTGATGGACAGTTTGAAGGGACTCGTGGAAAACTTTGGCAGTGGATTCTTAGAAGACTTCATACCTCTTCTACGATATTGCCCTACGGCAAAATTCAGACGACAACTGAAATATATAGCAGCTCTGACTGAACATATAAAGAAGGAGATGGAGGAACACAAGGAAACGTTTGTTTATGGTATGGTCATTTTGTGTATTAACTATACCCTTAAATAATGTAACGCACATGAGTCCCGGATTGAACATGTACAAGTAATCTATGCATGTCGAATGAGGCCTCATTATGGACCAGAGGGTGAGGCTTGTAATGGTGATGTTGACGGTGTCGTCATGGCCAGATGGTTATTGCTTAAATGATTAGCTCAGGTCGCCGTAGGTCCAGGTTTGAATCCCAACATTGGTATATGCATGGTTACTGTTGTCTCCCGCATGATGTTACTGGAAATTTGCTTAACATGTAAAACAATATTCAGTTTTATTTCTAATAAAACCAGGACAGTCACGGGATTTCGCGGATGCCATGTTGGCGGCCCAGAAAGAGGCAATAGATGAAGAGGACCCTGCTCTTTTGTCTCAGATTACTGACACCCATGTTGTGCAGACAATGGGGGATGTGTTCTTCGGTATGTTTCTTTTTTTCACTAATCACTATAGAACAAATCACTGGTAGGTTGTTCACGATCCCGTCCTCTTACTGGATTCCCTTGCAAATTAGACACCTCAGGATTTTCACGCATACCAGACAGAAAGTTGCCTCATGCTTCCTCCTACCACAGAAAGGTGGTTTGTTTTCGTTCAAACCAGCTTTGAGATGTCTCCATGCAAAAAAAGTTGTCTAGAAGTTCTATAAAGCCATTTTCTTGCGGTTCAATTAAGCCAGTATTCTAGAGGTTTCAAAAAGCTAGTTGTCTAAAGGTTCCATGAAGCCAGTTGTCTAGAGGTTTCACAAGGCCAGTTGTCTAGAGGTTTCAAAAAGCTAGTTGTCTGGAGGTTCGTTCCATGAAGCCAGTTGTCTAGAGGTTCCATGAAGCCAGTTGCCTAGAGGTTCAATGAAGCCAGTTGTCTAGAGGTTCCATGAAGCCAGTTGTCTAGATATTCCATGAAGCCAGTTGTCTAGAGGTTCCATGAAGCCAGTTGTCTAGAGGTTCCATGAAGCCAGTTGTCTAGAGATTCCATGAAGCCAGTTGTCTAGAGGTTCCATGAAGCCAGTTGTCTAGAGGTTCCATAAAGCCAGTTGTCTTGAGGCTACATGGAGCCAGTTGTCTAGAGGTTTCACAAAGCCAGTTGTCTGGATGTTCAATGTAGCCAGTTGATTAGAGGTTCCATCAAACCAGTTGTCTTGAGGTTTCACAAAGCTAGTTGTCGTGGTGTTCTATGAAACCTGCTGTCTGTGGGTTTCACAAAGCTAGTTGTCTTGAGGCTACATGGAGCAAGTTGTCTAGAGGTTTCACAAAGCCAGTTGTCTGGATATTCAATGTAGCCAGTTGTTTAGAGGATCCATGAAGCCAGTTGTCTTGAGGTTCACAAAGCTAGTTGTCGTGATGTTCTATGAAACCTTCTGTCTATTGGTTTCACAAAGCTAGTTGTCTTGAGGCTCCATGGAGCCAGTTGTCTAGAGGTTTCACAAAGCCAGTTGTCTGGATTTTCAATGTAGCCAGTTGTTTAGAGGTTCCATGAAGCCAGTTGTCTTGAGGTTTCCCAAAGCTAGTTGTCTGGATGTTCAATGAAGCCAGTTGTCTAGAGGTTTCACAAAGCCAGTTGTCTGGATGTTCCATGAAGCAAGTTGTCTAGAGGTTTCACAAAGCCAGTTGTCTAGATGTTCCATGAAGCCAGTTGTCTAGAGGTTTCACAAAGCCAGTTGTCTGGATGTTCAATGTAGCCAGTTGTTTAGAGGTTCCATGAAGCCAGTTGTCTAGAGGTTTCCCAAAGCTAGTTGTCTGGATGTTCAGTGAAGCCAGTTGTTTAGAGGATCCATGAAGCCAGTTGTCTTGAGGTTCACAAAGCTAGTTGTCGTGATGTTCTATGAAACCTTCTGTCTATTGGTTTCACAAAGCTAGTTGTCTTGAGGCTCCATGGAGCCAGTTGTCTAGAGGTTTCACAAAGCCAGTTGTCTGGATTTTCAACGTAGCCAGTTGTTTAGAGGTTCCATGAAGCCAGTTGTCTTGAGGTTTCCCAAAGCTAGTTGTCTGGATGTTCAATGAAGCCAGTTGTCTAGAGGTTTCACAAAGCCAGTTGTCTGGATGTTCCATGAAGCCAGTTGTCTAGAGGTTTCACAAAGCCAGTTGTCTGGATGTTCCATGAAGCCAGTTGTCTAGAGGTTTCACAAAGCCAGTTGTCTGGATGTTCAATGTAGCCAGTTGTTTAGAGGTTCCATGAAGCCAGTTGTCTTGAGGTTTCACAAAGCTAGTTGTCTGGATGTTCAATGAAGCCAGTTGTCAAGAGGTTTCACAAAGCTAGTTGTCTTGTTGTTCCATGAAGCCGGTTGTTTGGAGGTTTCACAAAGCTAGTTGTATTGGGTTCCATGAAACCGGTTGTCTTAAGGTTCCAAGAAACCAGTTGTCTAGAGATTTCATGGAGCCGGTTGTCTTGAGGTTCCATGAAGCCAGTTGTCTAGACGTGCCATGATGCCAGATGTCTGGATTTTCCATTAAACCAGTTGTTTAGAGGTTCCATAAAGCCAGTTGTCTGGAGGTTATATGACTTGGTTTTCTAGTGGTTTCCACGCAAATAATAACTTTGAATCTTCTTGGAGGCGTCTGAGGACAAACAGAAAGGTTCACAAACCAGCAAGTGCAGCTGGCAGGATGATACTATTTAATTTAAACGTGGTTAGTTCAATAAGTAAATTAGTGTACTGTTGTCCTGGAGACTCCTGTCCTCAGGATTGGTAGCCCAAGGGGGAGATTGAAGACAGCAATAACCTTTGTTTAGTGTTCAGCGTATTTGTGTTCTACAACAATATTACGCATGTTGTCACCCATTGTTCAGGACGTCACAAACGATTCAGGGTACAATACATCATATACCATTCAAGACTGGTCGACAACCAATAATATTCACTGGTTTAAGTATTAATAACATTATACGAGGGAATTTGCATTATTGGCAAATTTCGTTTCGAAACTGACGATATATGGAAACTGCAAGCACAAATCTATGGAGTGTAAATATTGTTCGGCTCATAAACAGTCTTTGTAATAGTGAATGACAGCTGTATATTTTCTTCTAATGTAAATTTGTATTTTGGGGTGTTTACTGGGATTGTGTTACTGCACTGACACGATGACTGTGTTTCAGCTGGTATCGACACCACAAGGAACACCCTCCACTGGTGTCTCTTGGTGATGGCTCTCAACCCTGACATACAGAAGAAGGTGCAGGAGGAGGTGGACTCTGTTATAGGTAATAATGATTTAGAAAATAACCTACGAGGTATTACGTATAATTCATCCCGAACATGTGTTTGTTTGTTGTTTTTCCCTGCACTCAGGAATATTCCAGCTATATGAAGCCGGTCTATAAGTAATCAACACAGTTAATGGCATCACTGAGCATCAATCTATGCAACTGGGATACGATGACATGCATCACCCAAGTAGCCAAGTCACCGAGCCTGATCACCTGGGCCCCGTTCCTCAAAACACTTTTAGCGCTAAGGTGATATACTAAAGTACTAAAGTCCCATACTTTAACACAGGCTTACGATCATTGTTGCGCTAAGATCGCTTTGAGAAACGAGGCCCTGATCCTACTCGATACCGTCAGTTGCCTCAAACATGGGATCCTGAAAACCAATTCTAACCTGGATCTTACGTCCCGTGTGAAGAAAATTTGTCTGGAATATTGGCGATGGGCTGTAGATATTTCAAAATTCCAGTTTGTAGGTAGGTTAATCGTTTCTAGTAATTATATTATTTTGTATTGTCTTTTATGACTTTATTATTAGTTTCTGCAAATTGTTGTCATATCACCTTGTTTAGAAGTACTTCCTAAACAATTGAAGAACTGCCCAATCACACTGAAGCAAAAATTAGTCTTGTGAAAAATAATCAAATAAGTGATTTCGACTACGTGGGGATTTCGTGTCAGAAATTGTTGATAGCAACCTATGTTGTCGTAAGAGGTGACTTAATGGATTGGGTGGTCAGCCTCAGTGACCAGGTTGCCATGTCAACGTACTCCATCGTATGGGTCATTGCTCATAATATCAGCCGCAGTCACTGTCATGAAGTGCTATGACAGATTATGTATGGTACTGTGAAAGATTAGGATGGTCCTTGACTATTTTAAGCAGTGTGTGCAAGCTTTTTTTTGTCTCCTGGCCTGGTGGTATTGCTTTAAACAATGAAGAGGTTATCTTGTGTCTTCATGTTCATACGGGGACGCCTCCGTGGTCCGCCCGGAGAGCGGAAGGTCCAGGGTTCGATCCACGGCTGCGTCATACTAAAAGACGTTAAAAGATGGTACTTGTTGTTACCCTGTCTGGCGCTCGGCATTGAGGGGCTAAAACAAGGACTGGTCGGCTCGGAGTCAGTATACTGTGTCTGAGTGGGGTATTCATGTTAAACTGTGGCATGGTATCTCAGTGAACTAGCACTATAAATCGGCATCAGTCCGGACTAGTACAAGCAGCCACACAAACACACACATGTACATGCACGTGGCTATATAAGCGCAATAATCTTGTACGCGACGTTAAACCCCATTTCACCTCACCTCACCTCACCTCACCTCACCTCACCTCACCTCACCTCATGTTCATTCAACTTCTAAATGCCTATCAAGGACTGTTAAGTGTGGTAAGCCAAATGGTGTTATGTGTTCAAATTTGGCATTGCCCCAAAATGACATGCAGCAAGAAGGGTATTCATACGCATGTAAATCCCATTTAACAACACTTTTCAACCAATCAGATTGCAGCACACGATACCATTTACTTGACAGTGTAAAATATTATGTTTTTTCAGGTCGAGATCTAAATGTAAGTCTGTCTGACCGGAGCCGACTGCCCTACACTGAGGCTGTTTTGCACGAGACAATGAGAATACGAGGGATTGCTCCAATGGGTATTCCACACGAGACACTCTACGATACATCAGTCGGTAAGAAGGTCTACGATACATCAGTCGGTAAGAAGGTCTACGATACATCAGTCGGTAAGGTCTACGACACATCAGTCGGTAAGAAGGTCTACTATACATCAGTCGGTAAGAAGGCCTACGATACATCAGTCGGTAAGAAGGTCTACGACACATCAGTCGGTAAGAAGGTCTCGATACATCAGTCGGTAAGAAGGTTTATGATACATCAGTCGGTAAGAAGGTCTACGATACATCAGTCGGTAAGAAGGTCTGCGATACATCAGTCGGTAAGAAGGTCTGCGATACATCAGTCGGTAAGAAGGTGTACGATACATCAGTCGGTAAGAAGGTCTACGATACATCAGTCGGTAAGAAGGTCTACGATACATCAGTCGGTAAGAAGGTCTACGATACATCAGTCGGTAAGAAGTTCTACGATACATCAGTTGGTAAGAAGGTCTACGATACATCATTCGGTAAGAAGGTCTACGATACATCAGTCGGTAAGAAGGTCTACGATACATCAGTCGGTAAGAAGGTCTACGATACATCAGTCGGTAAGAAGGTCTGCGATACATCAGTCGGTAAGAAGGTCTACGATACATCAGTCGGTAAGAAGGTCTATGATACATCAGTCGGTAAGAAGGTCTGCGATACATCAGTCGGTAAGAAGGTCTACCATCCATCAGTCGGTAAGAAGGTCTACGATACATCAGTCGGTAAGAAGGTCTACGATACATCAGTCGGTAAGAAGGTCTGCGATACATCAGTCGGTAAGAAAGTCTACGATCCATCAGTCGGTAAGAAGGTCTACCATCCATCAGTCGGTAAGAAGGTCTACGATACATCAGTCGGTAAGAAGGTCTACGATACATCAGTAGGTGAGAAGTTCTACGATACATCAGTCGGTAAGAAGGTCTACGATACATCATTCGGTAAGAAGGTCTACGATACATCATTCGGTAAGAAGGTCTACGATACATCAGTCGGTAAGAAGGTCTACGATACATCAGTCGGTAAGAAGGTCTACGATACATCAGTCGGTAAGAAGGTCTACGATACATCAGTCGGTAAGAAGGTCTGCGATACATCAGTCGGTAAGAAGGTCTACGATACATCAGTCGGTAAGAAGGTCTGCGATACATCAGTCGGTAAGAAGGTCTACGATACATCAGTCGGTAAGAAGGTCTACGATACATCAGTCGGTAAGAAGGTCTACGATACATCAGTCGGTAAGAAGGTCTACGATACATCAGTCGGTAAGAAGGTCTACGATACATCAGTCGGTAAGAAGGTCTACGATACATCAGTCGGTAAGAAAGTCTACGATACATCAGTCGGTAAGAAAGACTACGATACATCAGTCGGTAAGAAAGTCTACGATACATCAGTCGGTAAGAAGGTCTACGATACATCAGTCGGTAAGAAGGTCTACGATACATCAGTCGGTAAGAAGGTCTACGATACATCAGTCGGTAAGAAGGTCTACGATACATCAGTCGGTAAGAAAGTCTACGATACATCAGTCGGTAAGAAGGTCTACGATACATCAGTCGGTAAGAAGGTCTACGATACATCAGTCGGTAAGAAGGTCTACGATACATCAGTCGGTAAGAAGTTCTACGATACATCAGTTGGTAAGAAGGTCTACGATACATCATTCGGTAAGAAGGTCTACGATACATCAGTCGGTAAGAAGGTCTACGATACATCAGTCGGTAAGAAGGTCTACGATACATCAGGGGGGGGGGGGGGGGGGGGGGGCCTCCGTGGTCTAGTTGAAGAGCAATCCCGTTAGGCGCCTCTTACGGCATAGTCGCCTTTTACGCCAAGCATGGGTTGCTGAAGACCTATTCTACCCCGGATCTTCACGGATCTATTGCTCAGCAATCTTTTAATGAAGTGTATTGAAATTTGGCGTTGGTGTAGTCAGAAAGGGGGATTAGCATATGGCTGCCTTTGAAACCAAACTTGACTTCAAACAGAAACGGTTCAAGCAACATTAGGTGAGACTTTGGGACAAAGGAGAAAATAGCGAAACAATTAATCAAGATCGAACTGTCCACAGATGGCGTGTCAGCATTTTGGCCAATTCAACTAAAAAATCTCATACGTCCCGCTATCAATACATTCAACTCACAAAATATGCATTTTTGTGTACGTTCCAGGTGGCTATGAACTACCAAAAGGCACTGGAGTCATGATTTTCCACCAGGGTCTTCACTTTGATCCTGACCAATGGGATAACGTCAATGAATTCAGACCGGAACGATTCCTGGACGCTTCCGGGAAGATGGCACCCAAACCAAAAAGCTGGCTTCCGTTTTCTGCTGGTCGACGAGTGTGTCTCGGAGAGATCATAGCAAGGCCTGACCTGCATCTTGTTCTTGCGGGGATGATGCGAGCCTGCTCTGTATCTCTCGCCCCAGGGGAGACAAACGACTTCAAGCCTGCAATCCCCGGTTTTGCCTGCCTTCCCCGCAGTTACAAGGTTGTTGTTGAATCACGATCGTAATATTTCCCCAAAACAACTTTTCGATATTGAAAAAAAATTGTCATGGATTTGTATTAACTGTTTTCACACTTTAATTACATACGATTAGCTGTCTTTATATTATAATTTTTGGTTTGGTTTGGTTTGTTGTTTAAACCCGCACTCAGCAATATTCCAGCTATATGACGGCGGTCTGTAAATAATCGAGTCTGGACCAGACAACCCCGTGATTAATATCATGAGCATCGATCCACGCAATTGGGACCGATGACGTGTATAAACCAAGTCAGCGAGCCTGACCACCCGATCCCGTTAGTCGCCTCCTACGACAAGCATAGTCACCTTTTACGGCAAGCATGGGTTGCTGAAGACCTATTCTACCCCGGATCTTCACGGGTTATATTATAATGTAGACTGTTCCCTGTAATGAATGTGAGGATAGAAGATGATGCTCGAGGGATGAAACAACGAGGAGGGGGCCACAAAAGAACTAAATAATGTAACATCTTGATGGAAAAAAAAAACATCCCCCAATTTACAGTTCTCTGTTTCTTTACACAAATCATTTAATAGTTTTAATAAACTATATTCCCATATGTACATTAATTAACCCTATTCTAACTCTGCTTAAGTATTGTGTATTCCTGAGTGGAAAAGTAAATACTAGTTCTGATGTGTATGATGTCTAACTTGTTTGTATAGTACAATATATATGCATTTATTGTCAGAGAAGTGACTAGAGACAAAATACAGTGCATTGTTATTAGTTATTAAAAGGAATACATTATTCATTTACTTTTGTAGTTTTTGTAGTTTTCTGTCTGGCGCTCGGCATAAAGGGACTAAAACAAGGACTGGTCGGCTCGGAGTCAGTATACTGAGTGGGGTATTCATGTTAAACTACGGCATGGCATCTCAGTGAGCTAGCACTATAAATCGGCATTAGTCCGGACCAGTACAAGCAGCCACACACACACACACACACACACACACGTGCATGCACGTCGCTATATAAGTGAAATAATCTTGGAGGCGACGTTAAACCCCATTTCACCTCACCTCACAAGGTATAGCTTTGCCCGGAACTATTACAACGTCATAGGGCGTCCTCGTGCTTGAATAAAGGGAAGCAACACTCCAACAATTCCCCTCCATACCAAGCCACGACAAAACTCAATAAGCTCCAACAACCACGGTCAAACAACGACATACAGAGAAAGTGAACAAGGCATAAGGCTGACTGAATGATTTGGAGTGAAAAGTGCGGACTGCAATCGCACTGTGCTTTAAAAGTGATTACGGGAAGCGACATGATGGGAAATCCAAAACACGGACATTACCGGAACGACGCGAAAGATTGAAAGGTCCGGTCTTCGGTAATTAGGCACTTTGCGTTTAATTGGGTACAAATCTCTGGTTTCTTCTCGGCTGTCTGACATGCATGTTTTACGCATTTTTGAACACTGATTGGTTACCCGCGATCTATGAAGATTTCGACAAAGGGCGCATGTTAATTAATTTGGAAATACCTCTGATGGTTATAGTTTAATAATGTATAAAGTATCCATGCAGTGAAAGCATTTTCGGATTTCGGATTGCGTGGATAATACGATTACTACTCCCTTGTTGTCGTCCACGTTTTCTGGTATGACCCTACACTTGTGTATTTGTCGTCATTCACTTGATGCTCAGTTAATGAATTTATTACAGGTATAATTAGTGGTAGCACCACTCAGATTTCCTGATAAAGGTTCCCATTCGGCATTTCTTGTGTCTGGGGTAATTATTCAATCTAAATCCAGGTTTCAAGTGAGGTGAAATGTGTGTTATGTAATATGCACGTGGCAGCCCAGCAAGAGATGAATGATCAGATGATTCACTTTTTTTGTAAATCAGTGGATCATCAGAAAATACGTTGATTGATTAATCAATGTTTTTTTGCACAGTGGATATCTCAAAAGTAAGTTTTTACATGGCTAGGTTTACTACAGCAAAGGGAAAACACTCATATCATGGCGTGAAGTGCCCATGTTGGTTGGTTGGTTGGTTTCTTGTTTAACGCCGCACTCAGCAATATTCCAGCTATATGACGGCGGTCTGTAAATAATCGAGTCTGCACTAGACAATCCAGTTATTAATATCATGATGATCGATCCACGCAATTGGGATCGATGACATGCATCAACCAAGTCAGCGAGCCTGACCACCCGATCCCGTTAGTCGCCTTTTACGACAAGCATAGTCGCCTTTTACGGCAAGCACGGGTTGATGAAGACCTATTCTATCCCGGAATCTTCACGGGTCTGAAGTGCCGATGTAAAAACAACATAAACTGGGCGGCAAAAGAAAGTATAGGTCGAGTTCCATGATCGATAAAAAAAAATAACAAGAAGAGGTTTTATTGTGAATTATAATATAATCTAGGGAGGGGTAACAAATGATTGATCAACCCCAGTTTGAATGAAATTGTGCAATCACAGGTAATGTAAGCTCAATGTAAACAATGGTGGGGTAAGAAATTTCATTATCAAAAGTTGTCTGAAATGTCACCAAAATATTGTCAGACACACTACAAGTTCATTGTCGACACAGTTGCCTTCAATAGCGTGTATGACCTCCAGCTGCCTCAATGCATGCTGTGATACGCCGCTTCATCGATGACGTCAGTCTTCTGATGACGTGGACTGGAATCCGTTGCCACTCGTCCCTCAGGGCCCGCAATTCTTGTCTGTTGACGGGAGGCTGATGGCGTGCTCTAATCTGTCTGTCAAGATGGTCCCACAGATGTTCAATAGGATTCATATCGTGTGAGTGGGCAGGCCAGGTTAAAACGTCATCGTTCTGCTGGTTTAGAAAGTTCCGAGTCAGTCTTGCAGTATGGGGGCCTGGCATTGTCGTGTTGAAACAATGTCCCCTGCTGTTGATTTGTTAGACCGGAAGCACAACTGGCTGCAACACTTGGTCTCTGTACTGCACAACGTTCAGGTTTCCCTGTATAATCACCAAAATCAGTCTTCTGATCTCAACAAATACCGCCCAACACCATGACACCTCCCCCGCCGAATGGATGGACCTCTCGAATACACGCCGGAGACAAACGTTCCCCTCTGCGTCGATAAACTCGTTCTCTGCCGTCATTTCGAAACAAGTTGAACCGACTTTCATCAGTAAACAGCACTCGACGCCAATTTCTCACTTGCCAGAGTCGAACCTGCCTCGCCCATCGCCGTCGCCGTTACGAATCTGTTTCGCAGGTGAATGAGCCGTATCTGACCGTCTACTGTCAATGGTGTACAACCAAACCTTCTGGCAATTTGGACCTGTGTTGCCCCCATTTCGGCCATACCGATGGCTCTCTCTCTCTCTCTCTCTCTGCTCCTGTGACAGTCGTGGCATTTCTTAAGTTTGCTTTCATCACGTGTGGTTATACCCTGCAGACGAACGCATGTATTCAGCTAACATGCACGTGCAGTTTATGCCATAGGCGGGAAACCTGTTTCACCATTTTTTGTCACCGCACGAGCGCCGTCAAAGGTGGCGCGTTCGGGTGAGGTGTTTTTTGGTATCTGTTTCTGGGCAGTCATATTCCCAATACACCCTTTCCACTAGTTATCGCTGTTTTTAGGAAAATTACAAATGCCCAACCTATACTTTCTTTTGCCGCTTAGTTTACTTTGTTCAAAGGGTTATCCGATAATACGTTGATTGATTGCTCATTGTCATCTAACTCAATGGATTTTCTTTAAGAACCGTGGACATTATGAAAATAGTTGTCACGTGGGCTTTCTCAGCTGACCTTCGAGACTTGACACCTATGTGAAACAACTGAAACAAACTAAGTGATCAGTTGAGAAATGAACACGGGTTATAATATCCCGAAACGATATATATTTATTTAAATATTTGATTGTTACAGAGACGCGTGACATCGAATAAGTTTCTTTGTTCAGCTACAGACGTGTGGGATATTGTTCCTTTGTGTGGATATTCACGGACACATTCCTCGAACAAGGAAGCAGGCTAAAATTATGCATATAACTTTGGTAGGTTGTAATTATGATATCTGCATTTTGTTTTCATTAAATTGCTGTAGCTTTGAACAGAATCCTCTACGTCTTGGTTGGGAAATTCTTCACAAGTCTAATTCTTTGTAAGCGTGTATATGTTACAATCAATGTGTAAAATGTCATTTATTTAACAGATTGACTAAAAATTATTAAGACAGTCAAAAACATCACAATAGATTAATTATGTTGGGATTAGAAGCCAAACAATATACAAATGTACTTTTCATCCAAACATTTTCAGTCACGTGGTGATGATATTAAACATAAAAATGTTTGGAATTCGTTATCATAATAATACAGATGGACATATTTTCAGTCAATTTGTAAAATAACTGAATATTTTGGCGTTGAATAAATTTCCTAAGTGACAATATTTCACATTTTAACTGTAAAAATATGAACACGAAAAAAAATAAGTAATACTCAGGTCAAATATTTACTTTGTGTTGCAAGTCAAAATAGTGTAAAGGAAAATCGCACAATTACCAAGCAAGTGACTTATCAAAACTTCGTCACCATTACCGATGCTACCCACAAAGATACCTACATTTCCTTATCATTTCCCAAACTGTATTTCATTTTGTTGATCAATGTGACCATACGCCCTTATACTATCAATAAAAGTGACAAATGCGCTTACGAATGGCGCAGCACAGGTCGCGAACTAGTCTAGATCTCTGCTATATCATCCGGGTACTCACGCAGAATAAACAATAACAAAGGCAACAACCAGTCCCGAGGAAATGCTTTAGATCAGTGCCCCTTTAAGCCATATTTAACATTCAAGGGGCCAACTGGAAAACCTCGTTGACAATGAGGGGTAATACCCTTTAATGTACCCTGTCTGGCTGCCTGTCTGTTAATACCCTTTAATCCTCGCATTTGAGTGGTTGATGCTTACTATACCCATTCACCTTGTAAATGTATCTGCGTGTGTCAGTGTGTATGTACTATAATGTAGTTTGGTATACAGAAAACACCTGTAACAATAAAATTCAGTTCATATTCTCAACAGCAACGACCCTTAGATTTCAGGCAAATTGCATGTAATACAACAATGACTGCTCCCCTCTTGTCATCCATGTCCCATGGTATAACTATGCACCTGTGTATTTGTCGTCATTGACTTGATGCTCAGTTAATGACTTTGCTGCGGGTATAAGTAGTGGTAGAACTACTCAGATTACCTGACAAAGACTGCAGAATATCTCAACAACGTCCACCGCTGCCTATGAGTGAGTGAGTGAGTTGGGTTTAACTGACAAACCTAGAAACATAATCGGGGCGAACCGGGATTCGAACCCACAATCAAAGGTTTCTGGCGTGCCCAAGGGACGCAACTCTCAACAGCGAATCATGGCGCCTTAGACGACTGGGCCACCCGTGCCCCCCCGCTGCCTATGAGGATATCAAGGTGATAGCACTCAGTGGTTCGCATTGTGTCCGGAGAATTTATTTAATCCACGATTGGGTCATAAATCCAGGTCTGATATGGTGAATGTACTACATGTTATGTAATATGCACGTGGCAAGGCAGCAAGAGAGGAATGATCAGTAGAGTTGATAAAAAAAACATCGATCAAAGGATTAACCGTTAATACGTTGATTGATTAATCACTATTATCTCGCACAATGAATTTGTCAAAAGTAAGTGTTTATATATACTCCCATATCTTGGCGTGAAGTGCCGATCTAAAAAAAAACATGAATTGTTTGATAGGC